TGCGAGGGTGAATGAGGCACTTGTTGCGGCGGCCGCCATTGCCATCGCCATCGCTGCGATTTCTTCTCCGTGTGTGTGAAAGTGTAGAAGAGTATGATGCGCGCGCCCTGTAAATTTGGTGTTGATTTTAGGGATGAATTATGGATTTTTGGATGGTGCTGGGATTTGGGCGATTGAAACAAGGGCAACTTTCACGGCTAACGGGCTAAGGAATTTCTTCAAGAAGGACCAAATCTGAGACATGATAAAAGTGGCCTTTTGTTATTTTTTTATTTTTTTTTTAACTCTCAATGCTCATGTTTCATCCTCATTTTTTTTAAATATACTTTTCACTTTTTTTCCCTTCAACCACAAATTTTTTCAATAAGATAATATTAGGGCATGTCTGGTGCTGATGAAAATTACAATTTGGACCGTTGGATTTTTAAATGGCCTATCTATTTTTAAATTAATCTGACACTAGTTGCAGAAAAAGTCCAGACCCTAACTTCAATTTTTCCAATTTTACCCTCACTTCACGCATGCTCAACGGTCGTGCAAGGACAAAATGGGGAATCAAGATGATAGCCAAATGACACTATCCAGTTGTGGGACCCAACTGAATTGGTTTTCAGTCAACAACTGCGGCGCTCACGGTCGAAAAATTGTTTTTTTGGTTGAAATAATTTCCTCCAGACAGGCCCTTACACGCAATCAAAAAAAAAAATTATTCATCTTTAATCATACATTTTTCATCAATCTACTATTTTAAAATACATTTTACACAGAAAAAGAGGCTCAAACAGGCTCCAAATAAGCAGGCTATGCTAACTTTGAATAGTTTATGAGTCATACTACTTGTACAAAGTTAGATTACAAAATTGGTTTACAAAATACGTGTTGACAATGTCTTGGCCAAAGATTTAAAAAACAGTTTTGAAATCAATGATCTAAATCTTGACACATTATTTTGTCAACACACTTTTATAAACCACATTTATACAAGTAGCATAATTGATAGTTTATTTACGGGAAAAGCAACATGTCCTGTACACATGGGTCCTAGCCATTCAAGGATGCCATTTATTTATATAAATGATCATTTGATAAGACTTTTGAGCATAATTATTAAAATCAGATCTGTGGTTTGAGAACCACTGAATCGAATAGTGGTCCGATCTGAGTTCATTAATTGGACAAATAAATAAAGGAACCGGTTAAGAACTGATTGAACAACTCAAAACCCACTTGAACCGCACGAGTTTAAGAGGAACCAAATGGTTACCAAAGAATAGCGTAAATTTTTTTTATCAAATTGCAAAAAGCCTGATTCCTTAGTGAAATTTCATGTCCTTCACCATTGGGGAATTTGCTAACATTCAGTCTATATATATATATCGGTTACGTTCTCCTGTGCGCCACGCGCAGGAGAACGGAATGCGCTTTGCCTTGCCAAAAGGCAAGGCAAAGCCATGTGCATTTATGTTGTTAGCCGCAATTGCGGCTCACAACATTGGTTTTGTTTTTTTATTTTTTTTGCTTTGCCTATGCACATGCAAAGACATTAATTTTTATTTTTATTTTGTCTTTTTTCTAGTTATTTGCATATAAAAACACGGGTTTCGTTTCACACTTCATATACATTTTCACAATTATGTTAAAAAAGAAACTACGTTGATAAATTTTCTTCAAATTTAATTCAAACTACGTCGAACGAGTACAACAATAAGTGGTTTAATTGTCGTCGTCATTGTCAAACCCATGGAATGCACCATAATCACTGCTAGCAATACCAGTGTACCTATCTTCCTGAGTATCGTCCCAAGAATACTATAGATGATACGGTTCGTCCACCAGCTGACTCCTACAATTAAATATAAGCATAGTAGAAAATA